TAAATTATTTAATGTATTTCTGTCAATTTTTGCATACTTGAGTGAATAATTTGAACCCTACATTAGCTTTTCTTCCATTTTTTTTTAAAGGCAAATAATAATTATTATTTTCATTATTCTGCGTAAAAAAAAATGCAAATCCTTTTTTTTAAATTTCAGAATGCTTCGGGGTCAGCAAACATTTTTTTTCCCGATCTATTTGTCAGACAATTTAAATCCATCAGCCATACTTTATGGAGCAGCCATTCCTATTATATCTTACTTTGTCATCAAGAATTTGATTATTAATCCAATTCTGAAGCAGCAAAAACAAAAGTAAGTTGGTCCTTGGTTTTATTTTCCAGTTATACCAAAATTCTGCGTTTATTTAAAAACCATTAGCGTGTTGTTGTATTTTTTTGAGTGCCTAGAGCATATGCAGCTACAACTATTTTACTATGAAACATTGATGTAATTTGATGCTAGTCCTTATTGAATTAAGCAGTTAAGAAAAACCATTAAAAAATTACCTCCTCCTGTTATTGAAATGAAAACAGTACCCCTTTCAGACTTTGCGATCATTGGGGCATTGATCTTAAGCTGATCTATTTCTATGATCGCTGGTTAACAAGGGTCTTGTGTAGCCAGCGCAATGACACTTACTCTTACAGCATGTCAAATACCCATTAGAGGGGGTGCATTCAGAGGGTCGTTAATATCTCCGTGTTCAAAATGCTATTCTTCACTGGGATTCAAACTCAGGACCCCTCAGTAAGGATGCCAAGAGCTTTATCACTCATCCACCACTCCTTGTATGGAAATAAGTTGACTATATATCCATTGGTTGGATGTCAAACTGGATTGATGATGTGGAAGTAGATCTGCAACAGCTTGGGGTTAGGGCGTGGAGACGAAAGGCCCAGGAGAGACCTGAATGGAAGGATGTGTTGAAGCAGGCCAGAGTCCTCCATGGGCTGTAGTGCCACTGGGATGGAGGGATGATGGATGTCAAACAAACTCTTCATGCTGTTTTTTGTTGATCCCTTTCAAATTGTATTTCTTCAGAGAGTTAGAAAAACAGAAAGAGGATTATGCTGAAAGGTTAGCACAAAAAAGGGCTGAGGCTGAGAAAGCAGTAAGTTGGATGTACATTCACATTTGTTCTACATATTAGATTTTGTTTATAGCTAGGTTTATCAAAACTAGGATTGAAATAATTTAAGTTCAAGATAATAAAAATATATTTTCTAAAAAAAAAAATAATCAATGTATAATTAGAATCTAAAGCAAAATCCAGAGTTATTATGTATCACAAAGATAGAGGAAAAACTAATTGCTAACTTTTTAGTGTGTCAGGTAAACAGAGTAAAAAAAAAAGTTAATAAATAAGTTATGTTTTTAAAAGGCATATAATAATTTGTGTGCACTTTTTAGCACTACTGGATTAAATTTTATAAGCTCTTCCATTTGTAGCTCAATTTTTTTTTTTATTTAGTTGGCAATATTGAAGTTCTTTGACATTGTTCAGTTCAACATCTTTGACATTGTTCATTTCAACATCTTTGACATTGTTCAGTTAAACATTTTGACATGTTCAGTTAAACATCTTTGACATTGTTGAGTCAACATCTTTGACATTGTTGAGTCAACATCTTTGACATTGTTCAGTTTAACATTTTTGACATTGTTCAGTTAAACATTTTGACATTGTTCAGTTAAATATCTTTGACATTGTTCAGTTTATCATGAAAGCCTCCATTTGAGAAAAAAAAAGAATCTTATCTTATCTTATATAATACAGACGTTACTTCAAAAAAGAAGATGATTACGTCCTACGCGTCATGCATTTAGTCATGCAACATGAACCTAAGTGAGCTTACAAGTATACAAGAAACCAGATGAGTTACTGCTAAGTCTAATGAGACATTAAATTTCTGAACAAGCAAGCATTAAATACTGAACAATAATAAAGTGAAGTGTCTCCTTCTTCTAAAATGTTCATAACACAAAAAACTTACTAAACATAATGAACACAAACAACTTAGTAAGACGTAATGATCACACTGTTGGGGCTAATGACATTTATTGACCACCAGGTGGAGCTAATGAAAGAGACCTATGAGAGATGTGTAGAATTGGAAGAGAAAAAATCTGGCCTTGTTATCGTCAAGTCTGTTTATGGCAAACTGCAGTCAATTGATGATAGGTAAGTATTAAAATCATACATTTTTTAATTAGATTACACAAAACATTTTATATAAAGACTTAAGTGGGAAGTGTTTTCAAAACCATATTAATGCCAAAAATGTATAATTGTTTCAACTGTCTCCCCTAATTTACAGAAAGAACAATATAATTAAATTTGTTTTAATTTCCTCTGTAGGAATACTGTTTTTTCAAATTCATTACCTGAGGCTGAAAAAGAACATAAATAATGGCCAGAAAAAAAAATGTAATAAACATAATTATTTTAGCTTGTAAAAATACAAGTTCTGCCAAATGAGTGGGCAGAAGCGATTCCTGGCGAATTGTCATGGTAAAAATGCCCAAGGTTTGGTTTTTTATCAAACTGTACCCCTCGCAGATATTAAATATGACAGGAAGACTATTCTTGATAGGCATGTGGCAAGTGTGAGGCTTCCCATCAAGGTCAACAGATGATAGCATATCGAAACATATAAAAGACGAGACAATCAGTCCACCCGTTAAGGCTATTTTTGTTTTTGAAAATTTTTTAAGTAATGCTACTAGGATGGCCACTAAGACATTTTTGTGAATGTTCACATTTTTCTTATACTAAATTCAATTCAAATTGAATGCAGATAATATAGGGTTAGATATAATAAGTAATAGAAGTCTTTTTTAGTATATATTCACAAGTTGATCAGTTCATCTCAGTTTTGTACTTGGTCTTTTCCAGTATTTTAGACAGTGCCTGCTTAGATGTTACTATACCAATACAAGCTCTTGTGAAAGACTCTAAACTTATTTTGCCAGAGACATCTTCAAAAGTAAGATACTTCTTATACATTAACACAATCTAATGGTCATTGAGATTAATGATATCTAAATCATAGGATCATCACAATTATTATGTTACAAAGTCTCATGATATACTGAGTTTTTGGACTACCATTATTGGCACCAGTAGTCCCATTTCCTAATGAATAAACTCTTGATTTATCCTTAAATTTGACTTATTAATCCTAAGTCTCCTAGGTAGCAGTATGAGACTGATAATTTCCAGGATTTCAAGGTGCCATGTTTCATTTATCACCAATCAAGATACTACCATGTTTTGAAAGTTATAACATACATCAAACTTATTTCCTGTCTACAGAGTGGTCTGCCAGGTTTCTATGATCCTTTCATTGGAGAAGAGAAGAAGCTGTACATCCGCTATTTGTTTCGGGGCCGTTTACATCAAGCATTCATTTCTGACACCGAGCCAATCAGACTGCCACAACAAAGTGAGTACTACTATGTAACTGTCTTTTGTTTGCTATCTATTTCTTGAAGACAGAAACATTGATCAGGTCTGTTTCTAAGTGTTAGTGATAGTAATACTTGGTGGTGTAAACGTTTCTTCAGAGAAATTGTTTTATTAAAAAAAAGTTTTTTGTTTACACCTTCCGCGAACAACATCTCAATGTGATTGGAAGAGTAACACCTTTAGTAAAATCACTAAATTTAGAAAGCCTTCAGGATAGAAGACTCAAAAGTAAAGTAGCAATTATACATAAAACACTTAACTATAATCTTCAAATACAAAAACAATACCTAATAAAATACTCAGAAAGACACAAATACAAAGGCACATTCCTCGTTCCATATGCTAGGACAAATTCCCTAGAGCTATTAGAGCATGGAATGTGTTCCCTGAGCTTGCCAGGAAAACCAATGACTTGGCAGAATTTAAGGAATTGGTCAACATGCATCACTAGATTGACCCAGGGACACACTTTTGTTTAAGTAATGTCTGTATTTTAATAAGATAAGATAAGAAGGGTTTCCTGATGATGGGACACTACATTTTTATAATGGATTGGAATATCTAACCTATACAATTATTCTCTATTAAAATAGAGATAACTTATAGCCTGTGTTCATTTCAAGTAAGTTTTCATTCCCATCATTTGTACTATTTGTGAAACATGCTAGCGCTACTTTTGTTCAACAGAACACTTGATAGTGGAGGAAAGGTCAAGATCACCGCCAAGACCTCCCCAGCCGCCAGCTCAGGAATCATGACATTGACTGCCCACCAGTTTATCGTTTCCTTATGTGTGATTGAAGCCCCTCCAAAGGTCTGCTTGCTGGTGAAGTGTGTCAGCACATCTACTCCTGCACATTTTTTGTTCGACACTTTGTTCACTGCTTCAGGTTGTGTCTCAGCCATACTGATGATTTTTTTTAGAATTTTATGTGATTTTTAATGAACAAAAAAAAGTTTCAGATAGGTGAAGAAAGAAATTGCGCTGAGAGAAATTGAGGTTTTATTAGTGGATAACAAGAACTTTATTTTGATACATATGATTAATACTAATCTTGTTTATAAATGCTAAATATAAAGATATGCATCTCTGTGATTAGTTATTGAAGAAACAAAAGGCTCTTGATGTTTTTTTTTTTTATTGCGAACAGCGTATGGTTGAAATACCATTGGTGTGATATGGTGTACCTTAGGTGTATAACAAGAATGCAATAAGTCGCCCTATGATGAGTTCACTAGCACTCTTGTTGTTGCATTCCTATGTTGTTGAAACACAAGAAATAAAGGATAATTATATCCTCAACATAAAACCAGAGATAGTTTTATTTTTAATTACATTTTTTTTATTAAAAGTCTAGACTTGATCTGTTGTTTTTTTGTCTCACTACAAGTGAAGCTACTGATATTTCATCATGTGATCAATCTTCTTATGTGCTCTTGCACTGGAGAATTAAGAATTTTTTTTATAGCGTAAATGTGTCTGAATTGTATAGTTACTATTTTAGTTGCTGACAAAAATTAAGTTCTAAAGTTGTAATTAAATATTGGACACAGTTCTTAAACATTTGGATTATTAGGTAAGCATCTAAAAATTTATAGTGTATACATTTGGTTTGTGTGGGACTTATTCAGTCTGGATAAGTTTCTTAGAAAGATTTTTGAACTTCTGCTTTCATTATTGTCTTTAAGCAAATTTTGTACAAACTTTTTAAAAAAAAAAACCCTAACAACAAAAAAAACAACATATTTATTAACATCCTGTTTTAGTAGTTTCATATTCTTCTTCATTTCAATAAGGATTAAGCTAAGGATATATGCTGCATGCATTCTGCCAAGATATTTGATGTGGCCCTGTTCAACATGATCTTTGTTACTGTCATTTTTTTCTTCTCCCCCTTTGTGGACAGATAATGCTTGAACACGTAGTTACAATGATGTAGAAAATCTATCAGTAAAATATTAACAGTTTGTTTCGCAAACTATTGTATTACTATCTATTACATGCAGATGTTTGCTCACATTGATTTGTTTAGAGAACATCCTTGAACTTGCTAGCCTCCTAATTGTAGTAATTTGAACTAATAATCAACAAATGGTTTCATTGAAAAAAAAAGTTGTACATTGTAGAGTACATCGTAACAAAAGAAAATACATTCATGTCTCCTTCTCATGTTATTTTTATTTGTTTACATTTTATATCCAACTTAGCAAATAGGAAGCTTAAACTCCGTAGAGTACATGTGAAAATGGTAGTTAAGGACATTGAAATATTAAATTTAACATCCCTTGTTTCAAAGTTATTGATACATATTGAGCATCGGTTTTGCAATCAGTCATGACTGTAGAAAGATCAAACCACTAAATGTCTTAACTAGGAAGAAAAAAGAAAATGTTTTGTTTGCTTATAGCCTACAAAACATCAATTTCAGTTTGGATCAAACTTAGCATGTACTTATTTCTTTTTATAGGCCTGTCTTTAAAGTCAGCAATAAGTTGAAGAGAAAAAAACAAACAACTTATACTCTCACTCTGAACATTATTTGTAATCTGATTTAAACCATTTATGAATGTTGAGATGAACAGCTTTGGAAAACATACAAGGAAACATGAATGATATTCATGATAGACACAGATCACTAGTATTTTTTTGTGAACTATACAGCTCCTATAGTTTCATTGGTTAGTAATAATACAGCACTTGATTTACTGTCACAGGGGATGTGTTTAATCTAATTATGATTTTAAGACACAACTGTTTAACTCATCACTATGCAGACTATATGTGTTTACAACTGCAGACAATAATGTTTACCCCTGGAGAACATAGACTGTGGATTGTGTGTTTCCTCAACTAACATTGCTATGTACTCTGATGTGGGCTAGGAAATCTGCCCACTCCTGATTTGAAGACAATCGTTGTCAGCTGAATTAACTCTTTCTCTCCTAATTGACGATACCAATGTTGATTTGACCTCATTAAATTAAAATAATGTTTATTTTTATAAATTTTATTTTGTGTTATATAAAATGAGCATGCATTTCCCTTTAATTCTATACCAACTAAAACATTTTCTGATAACAAACAACAAAGTTATTGAAGCTTAATCATAAAAAGGGAGTGAAATTGTAATGAGCAAAATAAAGAATTCCATCGAAATGTGGAAAAATAATTACGGAGAGAAATAGTTAATTAGTCATATTTCAATTTTAAAAACAAAATCTTGACAAATTTAAATTTTAAAAACTCTTGAGATTCAATCCATAAAGAAGAGATGGTTAAAGCTGAAGTTTTGTGGCTTAAGGGTTATGAGGTAGTCAATGGCAACTATCTTTACTTTCAGATGCTCAGTCGAGCTGAGTGGCAATACACTCTATCCCCAGCTTTTCCATTTTAAACACTGGCAACATTGGCAGAAAAAATATTATGTCTTATATGAGTAAAACATCTTTCTGTAGAGCAGTTAAGAAACATCCAGTCAATATAAAGCAATGAGCTTGTTTCTGTGGCTAACATTTCACCTAGTTAGAATTAGGCTAACAAATGATGGTTATTGTACTCGTTGAGAGTTCAGAGACGTCACCTAGGATTGAACTCCAGATCCTTGGTTTCAGCAGCCAAAGACTTAACTACCAATACTCACCTACCACCCCTAGTACAAGTGAAGTTTTACATCATTGTCACATGTTTAAACACAGGAATACAAGTGAAAGTGAAACATACTGAAACAAACACATAAGTACCAGTACTTTGATTGTTTTTGATAAATCCCTTGATTTTTATGGTTAAAAGGATTTTGGGGCATTTATTTGTATTTAGCTAACCACTATGTTGTCCTTAGCAAAATTGTCTAATGAACATAATTAGCATATTTACATTATCTGAAAAATAATAAGATTCTCTGCTGAGGATTGTCTTTGCACTTTTTATTTACTTGGTCATCTATGTGTCTGTGAAGTCCTTTCTTGTATATTTTGTTTTTGTACTTTAATTTCTTTTCTGCCAACAAGAACAATGAGCCATAATCTTCAAATACAAAAACAAAATCTTATAAAATACAGAGGAAGACACAAAGATAAAGGCACATTCCTCGTTCTGTATACTAGGACAAATTTGTACAAATGCCAGTGACTTAGCAGATTTTAGGTCATTGGTTAATATGCATGACTAAATGCTTCATCTTCTTTTTTGAAGTAATGTCTGTATTATATAAGATAAGAAGATATGATATAGAGATTTTTTTTGTCAGCTTATTTACCTTTTACAGTTATATAGTGAAAGTTTTTGAAAAAATTCCATTTGATTTAGTTTGAGTCTGTTGGGTAATTAGTGATCTGTGCAATACTATAAAATTCACTATGGGATATAAAATCTTAGTCACAATTTCCCAATTCTCAATAAAAGAAATCTTAGAGAAGGCTGTCAAGTCTAATTAAAGAAAAATTTGGAAAGAACAATAAAGCAATTGTTATTTATGTTATTTGTTAAAATTGTGATTGAAATACATCATTCAGCCAGCCTAACGACTCCCATTTAACATCTCAATCTTATTTTACTTGGAAACAAGCTACATTTAAAGTAATACAAAAAGTGTTTACAAAAAAAAAACAATGTTATAGTGTCAGTTTTTTTTCCCTTTTCTCATTTATACACTCCTGTGCTGTTGTAGTGTGATGTAGAAATATATGTCATTGGTTTTACACCCCTGTGATGTTGTAGTGGGATGTTGATATATATGTCCTTTGTAAGGACAATTAAGATCTGAAACATTGAAAATGATTTTTCACCTACATTTCTATACTTTTTGCTTGTTGAATTATTTTCAAGATTAAAATAGTTATTTTAAGTGATTCATGGCAATTTCAAAAAAATCTTTCTGTTATAATATTGATTGCAACTTTTCCTGTTTTGTTTGAGATTTTCCACAATCAACTCAACAATGTCATGGATGATAGATTGAACTTCAAAATTGCCAACTCCATAAAAGTTACTACCTGAAAAGCTTTAAAAAACTTGATTCTGCAGTTCTATAAAATACACTCTAGTTGTCATGTAATATAAAAAAAAACATAATTTATCAACACCTCCTTAATTTTGTACACCGGATACACCAAAAAGTTATTTTTACATCTTCTGCCATGTATGAATATTTCCAGTAGTATGATCATCCAAATTACCTTTCTAGAAGAAAGTACTGTTTGTCAAGCCGTAATTTTATGTTAGCAGTTGTAAAGTTATCTCCATAATAATAATATGGCAGACAAACTTTTTGTTCTAATTGATTATCTGTCTTGTTTGAGGATTCTAATAAAGTAGAGTGATCATGGCTGATCAGGCATAGAGCTTTGCACATTTTATGTCTCTCTTTTGTGTTATTTTTGAGTATCTATTTCTTGGTGCCATGATAGATTTAACAGATCCTTACAGAACCCAACACACTGCATTATGATTTTAAAGTACAAAAAGCAATTCTTGACTTGAAATTAAAAACACTTTAATGAAATAAATACAAAAATATTTATTTTGTTTGAATCACCACATTGACTTTACAACTTTACATGATATAGATTTGTTAGTCCTAACAAATGGTATCAACTAAATGAAGAAGTTGAATTGAGCGAACCTATTTAACTTTTAAAGTGTGCTCCCGTTTCGTACAAAGCTTATTATCCACTCACTCTGTCTGTCTGGTAAAAAGTTTCTTCCATTTCCCATTCTCGAATCAAGTTAAAACTTTGCACAATTATTCATTGAATCTGACAAGACATGAATCAATATCCTGATCTTTGAATTTGACTGTTCTGAATGTGTTTATATTCTACTAGTAGATCTGTAGTACTATAGGCTACTAATGAACTTATTCACTGTTACAGTTCTGAACAAAACATTCATTCATAAATTGAGTTCGATTTTGTTTTTGAGTGTTGAGCTTTAAACTATTGACATGAAATAATATACTTATTTGATGCGTTGTTTTCTTTCTTTTTTTTTTAGTTCACACAGTTGAGTGACAATAGGTGAGATAGAATGTGTAGACATTTTTTTTGTCAAAAACTTAATCATTTAGGCTACTCTTTCCATAGATTTGTTATTTAGAAACACTAGAGAAGGTTTTCTTAGACTGTTGTGGAATAGGTCTCTTCGCTTAACAACGAAAAGCAACGTCTATAAAACAGTGGCTCTCTGTGAGCTTTCAACACACTTTTGTATGGCTCTGCGACTGGCTCTTTGAACTATTCCAATAGATGTGCCTTAGCTCCATAAGGGGAATACACTGACAAGATCACCTCACAAATAATCATGTTTCTTGAACAGTACAGAAGCACTGACATTACGCCATAGGCAATTTTTTTTTTCGGTGAACTTAAAGGAGGATAAGTGCTATAAAGATCCAATCAGGCGTCATTCCCCTACTCGCACAGTAGCTGGCAGGAGATAGCCTCTGAGAGAGAAATTTACAAGGGAAATGAGAGAGTGCTGTCAATAAAACAGTCTTAGTCTTAGGTGCAAATGTTTCTGGGAAAACCCGGTAGGGAAACATGCCCACGATTCATCTCTGGTGTTTCTGCAGCTTCCCGGATGCTTCCATTGCAAGTGAACACAACACCAAGGCAAGGGGCGCATACACAACTACAACTGCCTGCAAACGCCAAGACGCCTGATTTTGTTTCTCTTTAATTGTTGGTAGTTGTCTTTTAATCGCCCTGGAGCCTGTTGCACCATCCAGTGTAAGAAAACTATGTTGAACTCCATGCGTTATCCAGCATGAACTGAACTCCAGCCCTGATGTATCGTCTTAAGAAGGTCTAGACCTAGATAATAGTAGATAGATCTAGATCTAAAAGTAGAAACCTAGATTAGATCTAAATTAGATTTACTCTTTGTCTCTTATGCTTGATTACATTTGAGAAAACCACAGCTCCCATTAGATCTAGATTTAGAACAGTCTTTGTCTCACATTTTTAGCCATGCCATAACCATTTGAATATCTAGGCTAGTTTGTTTGTAAAATGTTTGGTTTTACATGTTTCGGATGTTCCTTCAGAGTTGAAGATAGATTACTTTCTAGTCCAAATCTCCCGCAGGATGACGGGGGATGGGAGAAGGCAGGCTTTGAACCCGGGACCATCGATAAATTCAAACGACAGTCCAGCGCGCAAACTGCACGACCAGGTAGCCATCCAAAATAATAATAAAACAACTGGCACGCTGCAGGATTTCACGTAAATACGCAGACCTAGTTGCGACTTGCATATTTCGCCTGTTCTGTTGCTGACAAAACAATTATCAGCAAATTATAGGTGTGTGTGTGTGTTAGGGGGGGTATTTTAATTCTTTTTTGTTTCGTTGCCTGAGCCTGACTTCTGGAAAAAAACACACTTTCATTTGGAGAATTTGAAAACAATTATAATTATAAAGAATTATAATCATAACATTTATTAGGTACCAGTCATCAGAAGTAAGTAGGTAGGCATATGTCGATTAGAGCGCGAAATGGGAAGAAAATATATCCCAGTAAAACAGTGATGCCCAAATTAAGATAAATAAGGCGCTCGGGCCATTTCCAGCGATCTAGTATCGTCCCCTTTTGCTACAAGAACATAATGCAGCCTTAAAGTTTTAGTTTTATTGATGATGAGGGTCTGACACGCGTGTCCGGCTATGGCCAAATTTTGATTCACGGTGCCCCGCTGCGGGGAAGAAGAGGAAACCGTGCCTAATATTCTGTTTGACTGCCCCAGACTTGCTGATCTCCGTCTCGACATCTGGGAAACCCAAAATTCTCAACCTGTATGGCGACATTTATGCACTACGCAAGACAGCAGGGTTTCTGTCCAGGGATTTTGCAAGAGAGGATTTGAGCTTCTCCATCCCTCACTCTAAAGGAGTTTGATGATGATAATGAACACGCATGTCGGAAAGGAAACTTGAAATAAATTACCGTATTGGCGGATATTGATGTAAAAGAGTTTACGAGTACAGTGAGGTCTTCTTTTACAAAGCTTATATAAACTCACTTTGTCAGTCTGGTAAAAAGTTTAAACATTTGTTTTCACTCATTTCCCATTCTCGGATCAAGTTAAAACTTTGCAAAATTATTCATTGAACCTGAAAAGACACGAATCAATCAAAAAAATTAAACAATTAGTTAATTAATTGTTGGTTATTTATTATTTTATATGATTTCGAAATAAGGAACTAATTGCTTTTTAAAGAGAGATGTGGAAATATTTACAGTACTTTTTCTGTTAAAAAAATAGGTGCCGGTACTCAGTAGTTGATTGCCTAACTTTTAACAGCTAAAAATTAATAATATACGTTCAAATACATGAAATACATGCCCACCATCAGGAACAAAGCCCTGTATATAGATATTACGTTTTGACACGTTTTTCTCATACTTCTCATTTTTGGATCAAGTTGAAATTTCGC